AAGACATTGTCGAAGGATTAGTTAATCAGATGACGATGCGGAGAACACATTTTATTTGAATTATTGCAACGCATAGATGTATAGACTACGAATTTTGAATGCATTTTAATAAACATCTTTAATAACAAATGTAATAATATTTTATTATTATACTATTAAATATAATAAGCCATTATTATTATATTTATTGCGTAAAATATGTTCGTTAAAATTTTAATACTAGTTAATAACATAATATTACACTATGTTTATTATTAACAACATTCATTAAAACGCATTAAAAATACGAAGTCTACACGTCTATACCTTGTAATAATTTTGATTCGAACAAAATATGTTACATTCTCTTTTCTGCATCGTCATCTAGTCGTCGAGCCCTTAAATAATATTTTTAGAATCCTAAATTATTTTTAAAGATTCGTGAAAGAAACCTCGGACAAGAATAGCCTGTTTTCCCGCACCGTATTGTTGAACCAAATAATCACAGTTGCTTTCAGACTCATCCGATTTGCTCGGAAACACTTTCCAAGAGCAGCGGTCCGAAAAAATTCGCGTGTTTACAAAATAATGTTGCGTACACCGGCGAGCTACAGCTTTTTTGGCAGTCACGTAAACGAACCTCGCATGATTTACAAACGTTTTCAGTGTTAGCGTCGAACGGTTTCTAACAAGCCAACGTTCGATCACCGAGGTTACGTTCCGTTATACAAAACGCTGGAACGCGACGTCACGACGGCGTGCAACATTCTTGGTAACAGTCTTCTTTTTTCTTTTTTTTTTTTACCGAGAAACTGAAAACGCTTTTGTACTCGCTTTGTTCTCGCGAGACTGCTCTCGCACCTGGAAATTAGAACGCGTGTCGATCGGCTGACAGGAACTGGAAGCGGAAGCAGCTCATAATTCGGTGACGTGATTCAAATCAACGACAATGATCCCGTGGCGAGATGTGTTCGCTTCTGGAACGGATTTCGGAACGAATGAAAACCAAGGACGGATCAGTCGAAACAAAGAATGAAAAATGTGAACGTAATTCACTTGCTGGACTGTGTGCGTATTCGTACGCATTTATGGTTTCTGAAGATTTTATAAAAACGCTAAAATATATTCGACAGCGTTCGGAAAATATTCGAACGGCACTTTCTTAAAATTCGTGCAGGGCAATGGAAAATTGCATAAACATTCGCAATTCTTCTTTCACTGCTAGTATTCTCCTCTTTACTATTAAATTTATACATCTGTTATATTCGATATAAATCAGAGAGCCTAATACAAATTTTGACAGAAATTATTGCTGCTTCAGAATATCATTTTTCTTTTAACGCGATAGAAAATTGCATAAACATTCGCAATTATTCTTTCACTGCTAGTATTCTCCTCTTTACTGTTAAATTTATACATCTGTTATATTCGATATAAATCAGAGAGCCTAATACAAATTTTGACAGAAATTATTGCTGCTTCAGAATATCATTTTTTTTTTTAACGCGATGGAAAATTGCATAAACATTCGCAATTATTCTTTCACTGCTAGTATTCTCCTCTTTACTATTAAATTTATACATCTGTTATATTCGATATAAATCAGAGAGCCTAATACAAATTTTGACAGAAATTATTGCTGCTTCAGAATATCATTTTTTTTTAACGCGATGGAAAATTGTATAAACATTATAACAATTCTTCTTTCACTGCTAGTATTTTCCTCTTTACTGTTAAATTTATACATCTGTTATGTTCGATATAAATCAGAGAGCCTAATACAAATTTTGACAGAAATTATTGCTGCTTCAGAATATCATTTCTCTTTTTTAACGCGAATATTACTAAATTATATTTTGTCGTTTTCCGGATTGGCGACAGTAAATTGGAAGTGTGCATCGAAAACGTACTATTTAGACTGCAGAATTATTTTTGACACAATCTTAACTTTTAAAAGAACTACAAATTTCAACTAAACAGCGAGGATAAATTTGGGAAACTTTTGTGTTCAGCTCGCGCGAGGATAGCGCAAGCATGTTTGACTCTATGAACAGTGCTAAAGCAACGCGAAACTATCTGATAGTAACTTTTCAACCAAATTCCACGAAGTATAGAATACAGTAGATACGTTTTTACTGCCGCTTTCTATCTTTTCGAGATTCAAGTGCCCACAACAGCTATAAAATAGTAACTCTGCTCTATAAACGTGAAACTTGAAAATTTCACGCAACAGCGGTGTTCCTAAGAGGCACTAAAAAGGAGAACTTACACCAAATTGCGGATATTATTGCGGATGTGGTGGATATATCTATGGACTAATTAAACGTGATTGAGATCGGAAAGAAGTCTCGTTTAAGTGTGTTACATAAAACCCGCAATGTATTCGTCAAAGTGAAACATCGACGAGATCATTATAATCATACGATAACGACCCGTCTGCAACTCAATGAATTTTTCTTTTTTTATAGCGATAAGAAATTCATCCGTAAGTTCGAGTAACGTAGTTCTATCGATTCGTGTCGTATTCGTATTAAACAAATATCAAAGACTTCGCTAGAACGATAATATTAACACGTTATCTTCTCGCATCGATATAGATAATCTTTTAAATGCGAAAGATCGGCAGCTGAATAAAAATTAGCAAGCTATCTCGAGCAACAAATGCAATAATTCTTTTCCGGAGATTAGCGATTCAGAGATTAGCGATTAAAAGATAGCACAAACGTTAGAAAATCTAATCATCGCGATGCCGTAGGAGAAATGATCAAATTCACTACTATATTATATTATATGATATATATATATGATATATATTATATATGATATATTATATATTATATATGTTATATGATATATTATTTATTATATATATTATATATGATATATGATATATATTATATTATATGATACTACGACATTTCCGACAAGAATGAAAATATCTGAATATCTCCACGGACTCCGTGAAATTCCGAACGAATCGACAAGAATCTTGTCGCCGCTCTCGTCGTCGATCACCATTTTTTTTCACTGACGAAGCGCAACCGAACGTAGCACGCAAGAAACACGTGAAAAAGCATCCGCTCGCGTACCGATTGACACATGGTGGCGTGGACCCGGCGCTCCTGAAGCTGCACGTGCTGTTGTGGCTGTTCTGTTTGGTATAAATCGGCCGATTGCTCGGCGGCGACACGCTAACACGCTCGGCGATGCGAAACCGCGGGACGGTCGGCTTGTGATAAATCATCGTTCCGCGTCTGGTCGTTCACAGAAACACCACAGTACCGTTCACAGTTCCATTTCAGGATCAATGCTAAGGCGAACTGTATCACACTGCTATCGGTTCCCGTTAAATGCGCAAAACGACCGCGAGAAAATCGGTTCTCGCGCGGCGCGCCGCACAGTTCAGAGGCGGTCGAAGAAGAGAGCGCGGCGGTTCGGGCCTGGGCTGCAGCTGCCGGCGGCGATTTGACCGCTCCGGAAGTCGCGGAATCCGAAGCGACTCTCTCCGCGGTCTTATTTAGGGTGAAGCCGGTCGCGATCGAGGAATCCGGAGATCGCGGGCCGCGCGGTCGCGGCGGAGAACGATGCTGCTTGCGAGGAAGCTCGACGCGAAGTATCGAGGGAGCCAAGCGGTGGCTACGATTTCGCCCGCAAGCGGCATTAGACTCGACTGCCCGTCGAATCGCCGACTACGCTCGTAATAACAAAGCGTATCGCGGCCTATCAGAGGCTGCTTTGATTCCCGCGACCGCGATCAGCTGTGCCCGCCAGTGAAACGTGCAGACCTTCGAGGAAACGATTCCCGCG